CTGTATCTTTGCAATAGGGAAAAACCCAAAGTCATATTAATACACAGTGGATTACCTGGTAAGAAAGCCAAATATGAAGAACATCCTTCTAATTCACAAATGGGAAGTAGCATTTCAGGGCTCGGTGTTTGGCAGTATTTTTGATGTGGAGGCAGTTAAACAAATCATATAGATTCATTTCTTATGCAAGTCAGAGGCAAGGTTGGTACTCCACACTGGGGGAGCATACAGAACTGCTTCTTCGTCTACCCTTCTAGTACAGAAAGCAGCAAGAGCCTGTTATTTCCACTTCTCTGTTTCTTCTGCTCCTGGCCTTCTGCCCATCCTTAGTTAATAAAGTCAATTTATCAGCCTCAAATATTAGTGTACACATTGGGAACCACACTAAGAGTTTTTGGGTTCTTGGCAACCACTGCTTATCTATTAATATATCAACCAGCTATCCCAAGATAGTTAGGCTAAGTACTTGAAGTTGGAAACTGTATTTGCAATTTACAACAAAGAAAACGGACTTCTACATGTTCTTGGATTTCTAGAAAAGAAATCTGGGCAGAGAGAAAAAGGAAGGCCAATTCCACAATGACACTGAAACACCAAGTAACTCAGCATAGTTACGGTTGTTTAATATCAGATGCTGCCTTGACAGCTCCTGAACAAACTAATTCAGACTGACTTGGTTTGGTCCTGTTTAGATGCACGTACGTGATGGCAAAGTGACACACAAGCCACTGCTGCTGCATGGCACAGAGCAGCTCTCCAGAGCTTCTAGGACACTGTCTGTAGCAGTAAACTGAGCCTCCCCTCCGATGACATGCAGAGCTGATCCTTTGGAGAATCTGAACGTCCTTCCACATTCCCTAAGCTATTGTGCAGGTAGAGGTACTAGCCAGAACGCAAGCTGTACTCGCTTTCTGGAAGACATCCCCAAGCAAGCTGTGTAACAGAGTGAAATGTCACTCAAATTAGTTTCATACGTGGTCTTCAGCATGACTATACCAAAGTAGAAGAAACTCTGTGGTAAAGACATGCCCTGAAAAGGTAATTTTTAACAGCCTGCTTGGCAACCTGAACGTGTAGAAAGTAAGACAACACATTCCACGAAAAGGCACAATACATTAGGCCACAAGCCTACAACTAACTGTTGCCTTAGCAGCAGGAGGGACTCTGGAGAGCTGTAGGACATTGACTGGGTCCACACAGATTCCCCAAAATGGGGAGTCCTGTAAGTTTGAAGAGGTTGTCCCCTGACATAACATATTCTTCATGCAGTTTCAGGCTCTCATATGTACTTCTACATACACACTTCATACTGATTTCACTACCTTCTTTGCATTTGTATATTTAAAACACCCATGGAGAACAATTTTATTAATTTTTTCATTGAGGCAAATGAAATGCCTTTTTCTCCCACACTCACTCACTCCCTCTTACCCCAAATCACCTTAATTGGTAAATCCAATATTTGTATTTTACTTCTATGACTGCTGCAGAAAATTCAGCGGTCATATTATTACGCTGTGATCAGCAATCATATCCAGGCACTCCCTCTCTCCCTCCTTTGGTGATCTCTGTGTAGTTTAGAACAAGAATAGATGGTATTTGCCCATCACTGCATGCTCTGCCATTTTGAATCATTTGTCATCCTAGTCCTCAAGGTTTCTCAGTTATCTCCATCTCCTCCTCTGTACTCAGTGATGCCTCTGAGCTTCGTATCATCACAAGTATCATCAGCACACGACTCTCTTTTTCCTGCTACAAGTCCTTAAATAAAAGCAGTCCCACTACTGATCCCAAGAAAGTCCAGACCGAGACTACCTTTCATCATCTCCTTTAGTCATTTCCCCCTAGTCACTCCCTACTTGCAATTCTCATACTGATTGATCTACTTCTCCAGCTTGCTTAGTTTCTCATGGGACACCACAACACCACCTCTGGAATGTCTATACAAAAGACATTTTTTAAAGTCACATTTCCTAATGTAGAAGAAACAGCTACCAAAAAAAAAAAGCTACCAGGTTAGCCTGAACATTCAGTCTCATTTTCTATTTACCTTTTAATTACTTGTTTGCTCAAAATTTGACCCAAACTCTTGCAGCAGATGACTATGCAAATAAAACAGGGTTTTAGGTTTATTTCATTATTCACATAACTTGGCCCACTGGCTGGATGAGGTTTCTGTTCACTACAAGTGTATAGCCAGCATATGCTATGTAGCAAGTAAACAAATCAGATGGAAAACAATGTGTTGCAGGTGACAGCTTTCTAGGCCATATCATATTAGAAAGAAGGCTACTTGTAAGACCTGAGTAAAAAATTTAACCATCATGGTAGTTTCTTCTATCGCCAGTGCTGTCTTGTATTTGTCTGTCTATGGATTACTCCACAGCAGCAGCCAATCTTCCCCTACCCCTTCCTTGTATAAGCACAAATATACCTGTGGCAAACAGGGATGAGCAACTAATCTGACTTAAAACTAATTCTGAGCAGAGTTTTAACCTGTTCAGTTCCCCAGTCAAATTCTCATCAGAGATTAAATTTGTGTGCCAGATGGGAAGGAGGGGAGAGGCATAGCTGTTCTCTTTGACAATGATGCTGGCTTAAAAACAACTAGGAAACTGGGATGTAGGCTTGTTTAGCATCATGGAAAATAGGCAATAACAGTGCTCTAGCCTGAGAGATTTTGACATAAACAAGACAATATATGCTTGTAAAGGCCACTGCTATTTTTCATTTAATTGATGAAGCTGCAAAAAATACCAGATCAGCTGTCAGGCAGAGAAGCGTTTTTTTCCTTCTAATGATGTGTAGCCTCCAACTGACCAAAACGTGCATCTCATCCCACCCGTGGTTAAAGCACTAAGACCCTTAAAGATCAGCTATATGTGGATGGAGAAAAAGAAGTTGGTTTCTGTTGCCTCTCTGCCGTGAATAACAAACTGAAATCCCCTTCATGCCCTGCTGGCAGTAAGCAATTTATGAGCCTAAGTTGGGAAGGAAAGTAGAAAGTAATTCACTGAAAAATGAGGCTTGGATCCTGGCGACTAAATATAATAGGATCCTTTCCCATTCTTTTTGCTCTCCCTTCAGGGAAAAAAAACACACTGAAACAATGAACAGTATAAAGCTGTCCATGTAGTTATTCCCCTTTTTGCAAGGCTGACAAATGATGATGATCACAGACAAATACCTAGAGGAATCAAATGCTACTTTACATCCTGACGCTGCTTTCCAATACAGTTAGGGACCGAGACTGTGATTTAAACTATGACTGCACAAGCATATTTAACTTTACTTCAAGTCTATGCAACCCATTCAGTTGGATAACGCTTACTGAAATTATACTGAGATTTTTTTTTTGGTGCACTCTAAAGTAAAGGACAAGTATTAAGAAAATAACCTTGCTTAGCTGTGCAGTCAGAGAAATGTTTCCTCTGGATTTACAACATATTTGGCAAAGATTGTGAAAAAATGAGTGCAGTACTTGAACGTTTGGAATTTGGCCATAGCTGTATGTTCTCCATAAAAATCAATTTGGAAAGAGTTGTTGTAAAAAAGTCCAGTACTTTTATGGGCCTAAATCTTTTCTACATTGATTCCTCATGTATAAATTATAACAGGGAATTCATATTCTGAACCTAAGAGAAACTAGATGCAAAAAATTAAAGGCCTGGGCCAACAGTTTGAAGTTTCTCCATTTCCCTCTTTCCTGACAAGTCGTAATATCTATCATCTTAGTATTTGTGACATGGGATGATACCTGTGTCAACGCATCAAACTGGAATATAGTGAAGCTGCGATGTGTTTCTTGTGATAAATGTAGGTTGAGTAGATAATTGATTAAAGAAATAGAAGTCCAATATCAGTAGTAAATTCTGCCACTGTTGTTAACAAAATTACTTGAAGTCACTTCATTCAAAACCAGTTATAACCGGCTCAGTAAAAGCATCAGAAATTGCCGCTGTCACCCCAGCCAATATCTTACTGCCAGAAATGTACGTAGGGGGAAAAAAAAGAAAGGATTTAATTAATATTATCAAAAAAATCCTACACGTTTCTCTTTTTATCTACAGGTAGAGTAACAATTCCTGTTTCTAGGAGAGATTATTTGGAGCAGCTGGGAATTTATTTTATTCATCACTGCTTCACTAATCCACCAACAGGAATCACGTATCATTTTTACAACTGCTGATGCAGCAGGCACATTTTGACAAGCGATGGCACTACAAATTTCAGAAATTAAGGCTTTAAAGCTCTGTCCTGCAAAGAGCTCAGTGCTTTTGCTTGGCAATTTTTCAGCTGTTATCCCTAATCAAAAAATCATAAACGAGGGAAAGCTACTCATGGCATACACAGACGAGCATTTCTAACCTTCTGCGAAGAGGCAAGCGATAAAAGTCCTATCCTCACAGAGAGTGGATGCATATTAATACTCTGGGGCTGCTACAAAAGGAACCTGCATGAAACGTGCCATTAAGCCTGTAAGACCATAACAACCAGTCTGCTACAGAATGTCTATTCTGTGTTTAAATTCAGCTTGAATTTACACAAAGTAAAATTGAGTAGTTAAAAACCAGACTGATATGTTAAAGTGGAGAGAAGAACACGGTGCTAAGTCACCCAAGCCGTGTTACGATGTCAGGTCACAGTTTCACAGCGGCTGCTAATGGAAAGAAGCGGATGAGGACTCATTAAGCCCTCCCTCTCACACACACCTTAGCCCATAGCGAGGGTCACCTCATTACACTTGCCACTGATAAAAACCACATGTAAAATATTAGGTCAAATGCTAAAACACAACACACATTAAACTATTCTAGTTTTTCAGGTCACCAAGTTATAAGATGGCAACATGACAGGCAGCAATACCGCTTAAAGAAAAAGCAAAAGGCAAATTGTGCTTGCCTTCCACCTTCCTGCCAGCTATAAAATCCTGTAAAACATTCCATTAAAACAGCATACTTTAAAAACAAGATTAGCTTCTCCAACAGAGCAAGATTTACCTGATGGAATACAGGCTCTTTCAAATTTAAGTAAATCTGGAAAGATTAAAAAAAGAGAAATAATTTGCAACAGAGAACAACCATAACATTATTCATCTAAATATTGCCAAGATTTGTGCTGTTAGAATCAAGACAGAGTGCCTATCCATGCACTATTAAAGTTGATTAAAAATTTGAAATGTCTTCTGACAAAACCTGAGGTTTTAACTGTGGAATTATTTTAAATTAAGAAGGACAGAGACATTAACATCTAAAATCTCCTCATTTAATAGAGTTGCAACACATACAAAAACAATTAAGATGCAGAAATTACCAGACACATTCTCAATATGCATTGGAAGAAGAAAGTGTACTCTACTTTGATTTGCTATTACTAATGTTTTTGACAATCATAGAATCATAGAATGCTTTAACATTTCAACTCATTTTACAAAACGCTAGTAGGTCTTTCTATTGTTAATGTAATTCATTTAATTTCTGCTTTTGCAGAGAGAAGAGCGCTAGACCTTAGGCATAACATGCCACAAGTGTAAAAAATTTTAGGAGGTACAGAAGAGAAAAGGCACATATTTTCAAGGCAGAAGACCTATAACACTTTTTTTTTTTAAGAAATGGTTATCAATAGAAATAAAGAAGGAGATTCTATCTGCAGTTGATAGCTAGCAAAAACCTCATTTTATTCATAAAAGGAGCACATGGCACTGAGAAAAGGAATCAAGTTAGCCATGACACAGTTAAGTGTGTTCTAGTTTTTTTAACAGCTAAGTTCCTTTCTTATTCTGGCTGTTGTTTTAAAACACCAGTCACTATCCTGGGCTGTGTTATCACAGTTCACTGTTTGCAGTCTGTTGCGCAGGATTACTCTCATTTCTGTAGACAAATTAAAGTGAGGGAAGATGAGGAATGCAGCTGGTCCAAAGACTCATAACAAGTCAACAGTGACTGTCTTTCTCACATTCCTGTTCTAGCAGCTGGATTACTGCTTTTCTTCTTTATTTATTCTATACAGTGGTTTAGATAGAAAGGTTTCAGGTTTCTCTGGCCAGCACATGATTATCCCAACAAAAGAATAATTTGTCCTTCTTGAGTGGAAGTGCGAGAGATTCAGTACTGCCTGTATAAAGTTCCTTCACTGGCAGGAAAACTGTCAACCTATGGGTGAAAATGCCATATTAGAAAAAGTTACTTACTATGCTGACTACGAAGCTGTATGTTATTAGCAAGAAAAGCAGTGGATAATTGACTGTGTTCTTGTACTTGAAACATTCATACCTGGAACAGAACATAAAGGAGAGTGATGACATTTATCACTTACCATATAAAGAACACATTTTTCAAGGTGTATTATCACAAAATTTGTGAGAAAATTGATCCAAATGAGTCTTAAGCCCTCCAAGAAATTGTAGCTCCTCCAATAAAGATGTGTAATTTTAATATAAAAATTCACACTTTTATCAATAAATGTTTTTTAAAAAAAAAATCTAGTGAAAAAACCCCAATAAGCTCATGTATATACAAAAAAACAACCTACTCAGTGAAAAGAGTTTGGGAAGCAGAAGCTTTTTCAGAAGGTGCTTAAGGGGTGATAATGGATGGCAAATTAGAAATGAGTTTAAAATGCAGTACAGCTGCCAAAACCATTACATCGGTGAGCTAAAGGCAGTGTGGGAAAGGGACTGCCTTACGAAACAGTGAACTCTCGAGATCTGTTAAAATGCAGATTGTTTATGGCTTTACTACAGTCACAGTCCAGCACATTTGCTAGATTGGGTACTGGTAGAAGTGGAAGGTAAAAACAGCTAATAGCTCCCAGTATGTAAAACAACTAATTAAAACTAGCTTCGCAATCTCTACGCTACACTTCAGTCACAGTTGTGATGGAATTACACACAAACACATCCCAGACCACACCTCCATCAGAAAAAAGGTCCAAAAAACCCAACAAAAAATGAACTTTGAGAAGCACAAAAGCATTAGGGCTAGAGGAAGTTGTCTATATAACTCCAAGTTATATCTGCCCAGTTTATTTTTTTTGTAAACAGACACTATCATGCATAAATAAAAGGAAACAAAGAAAAAAACATGTAGGAGTATGGGGGGGGGCGGGATCTACAAGACAGCACAATGTGCTACATTGCAAAATGGCTTGCTAAAGTAATTACACAGCTGGAGAGTCAGTAGGACTGAATGATGTATAAGGGAATGTCCTGTGCAGAACCACCCCGCCACCCACCTTCAAGAAAACCAAAATGATTATTAAAGGCCTCGTTTATGAGCATTAGCTCATTCTTCAGAACATTTTAATTACTACCAAACATACGTACACAGCATCTTATTACAGCTATAAATGCAGTAACAGACTCCAGTGCTTTTGAAGATAATAGAGCAACCATTGCACAAAATAAGCATGATTATTTTTTCAAACAGATTTTTATAGCCACTTCTCATCCTTTTCCCCAATCACATTCAAATCAGACAAAAATGCAAAGGCAATTTCAAGGAAATAGTGGAAATATTTTCATTGCAGCTCCCTAACAGAAGCATTATGATTCTGGTCCTGAGTTTGCACAAATCATACTAATGTATAAATCACAAACTGATGGTAATTTCTACAGATATGGATTTAGACCTATAGCATCCCATCTCCATTGCAAGCTACCAGTAATCTTCAAAGATATTCCAATTTTCAACGGCTGAATATTTGATATGTTCAAAAGCAAAAAGCCAATTTTTTTGTCTTTTTGTCTGCAACAAGTTGATTTATCGTTTGGATTTTCCAAGTGACAGAACAAATCATGTTAAATCCAGGCCCTGCAGCAACAGACAAGAAAAAGCCAACTTACAGAATCTTTACAGTCACCAAATGCTACATTGCTCCCAAAATTAAATGGGAGGAAACATCCTGGCATGGCATTAAGCTGTCACACGTTTCCAAGACACTCTCCACAAAATATGCACTCAGCTCCTCATAAAATCTTTTTTCTTTAATTTTCCAGATGAGTGAAAAGCAGGTTTAACCAGAAATTTGAAATTTGCATTTGGAGTCAGACTACATCATAGAAATACAGCTCAAATAAATTACAATGTTGATAGTTTTGTAGACATTACTGAAGTTGATTTTATTATGTCTGTTGTTTACATTACCAAGTAACATTGAGCTCTCGTTGCATACCACACAAAGTCTTTAATGAGTTCTTTTTTTTTTCCTGCACAACAAACACAGGTAAAACATCTCTAAATTAGCAAAATCTATGACTAAAGCCAGCCTGGTGCTCTAATGGCCAAGTCATAATGCTGTACTGCTAGCAAAATTGAGATCTCACTGAGATCAGTAGAAGCTTCAGTGTCAGCCTCACTATACATTAGATTTGGCTTCACAGATTCTACATTTCAAAAGTTAGTATTTCATAAATATTCAGAAAAAAACATTTAACAAATACTTACAGGCAGTAGACAAACACACAACAACTGTATATCATTGGCAGTTCATCCAACAGCTACAAAAAGCAGAGACATCAAAACATGAAAACTACTTTTAACTCACACGCTTGTGTAAGTTAATTAAGGAGAGAGAAGTCTTAAGAAAACAGAAGTTTTTAAGTCATTTGGATATCCACCTTCTTGACTGTACTTCCGTACGCAGCAGTGTCAAATCCTACTCAACTACTGAAAGCCTGCTGCATTAATAAGCTTATTACTCTGAATCTTTTTAATATTGTTTCCTAAAAAGCCCACACCTTCAAAGAATCATGCCCTTTTCGCTGTTCGTACCTCTTGAAACATTTATAAGAATTAGTTTTGTAAAGTCAGATTGAATAAGATCACCCCATTTACAGCCTGCTCAACACAGTCAGTAGCATTTCCTTACTTCTGTACAAACTTCACAGAGAAACGGAAACAAATTTTTTCCGTAACATAAAATAGAACTTTAGCCCATTAGGAAGTACCTTGCGATGTGCTTCCATGTTTATTTCCTCATTTTGGAAATTTCTTACATAGTTTTAATTCAGAGACAAGTTTTTTTTGTTTGTTGTGGGGTTCTTTGGTGTTCCCCTCCCCCCCCCCAAATTATGACTGCCATATAACATTTTATTGTCTTAAATAATTTTTATACTCTGGGAGAAGATTGTCGTGTTACAGCTAAACCAGTTATTTCTCCAGGAACTTGCCACCTTAATGGAGATGGAATTAAAACAGTAATCCCAAGAGATGTGATTTCTCAAGAACAGGTACACTCAAAATTGCCATTTATTTATCATTAGAGGGGAGAAAAAAATAAAACTCAGAGCATCGTTTTCTTCTAAAACTTTTCTTATCAAAGAACATTAACAAATTTCTGCTTATATACAGTTAAACTTACCTCCTCTTATGAAGGACTGAAAATGATGAAAATGCAAAAACATAAAAATGGATCAATGAAGATGCCTCTGATTGCTAGTATGTTAAGCAAACGTTAATAGTTAGGCATCTTAGAATTATTACACCAGGTTTGACTCTTTCCTAAGAAAAACAAGAACTGGATGCAAACAAGATTTTGATCTTTTTCCATCATCACTCTGAAAGTTGTTGATGGCCACGCCTGTACAGAAATGACCTTCCTACTACTGGTATAGGGTACTTAAATTCACAACCACGTTTTTCTGAATAATGAGACGCATTAAGAGCAATAGCAGCTTACACGAACCCTTTTGTAAAGCCAGCCTTACTCTGCTTCGTTTGGGAGAATTTTTCTAACTGCACAGGCAAAAAACTTTCTTTTAGTTTTGAAATTTTGTTTGGGGGCAAAAAGTGATCTAGTTCTTTACAGAAGGAGAGAGATGTGTTATTCTGAGTGTGAACTATTAGCTTTTCGTGGGTTTTGGTCACAGAAACTTAAGGAAATGTTTTACAGTACTGTTAAACAGATCTACTGACTAGCTGCCACTGAACTCCCAGGTCTTGCTTCCTCACCCACACTCCCACTGCTTCTCTTGAGTGAGGCCGTCACGCTCGTCTGACCCACCGTGAGCCAGTTCCAAGAGCTGATCCAGCACACAACTAACCTTGCAGAAAAAGGTTTAAATCCCTGAATCCATGCATTACAGGCTCAGGGACCGCAATAGGTAGCACAAAGGAAGTTATCAGGAACATAGATGGCAGTTGAAGCTAACAGGCGTTTCAGGTGGCACCTAGTTTATCTTTGCTGTGATGCCTTGGAGAGGAAAAACCAGTAGCAATAGCTGAACTCAGCTTTACACTGCTAGTTATAAGTTCAGTGATATGCTTTACCAAGTCTGATAGGAATTAGCTGCAGGATTAATTCATGCAGCTCTTTAAGCGTATGAGTCGTTTAAGGCCTCATAGAAGGGGGGAAAAAGGAGTAAGAAATAGAATATAGCAAAATTTTTCAAATTTTGACAGCTGACTACGCTCTTAAGTTCACATGCTGGCAGTATCTCAGGGACGTGACGGTAACATCAAAGAGCCTCTCAAAAGATCCCAGTTAGAATCTGCGTGCAGAAGACAATGGCTTCTGTATCCAAATGAATTAATGCTTCCAGAAATACTGTCAACAGCATGACCGAACATGTCTGAACAATGAAGAAACATGGATAGAAGGAAACTCGGTGAGCTGATTTTGCTGGTTAAGTAAGCATTTTGGATTCTTGAGGAATGCACAATCAAGCACATTCCCATAAGAGAAAAAAAAAAGAGGTGATTGCTTCCGAAGTATTCTAAATAACTGCTTTCAAGAACAGAAGCTTTCACATTTCTCTTAATTAAGCAATCTGAACTGACTATTTACAGTATTAAGATTGCGAAACAAATGTAAAAAAAAAACTCTCTTCAAACAGCTGTCAATGGTGACTTTTAATCATAACAAGAGACAAAGTGAACAAGAAAAGACTATTTACTGGTTGAAATGTTTCCTCTGTGGTGATTCGTCAACTAGCAATCAGAGTAATTATGGGCCACGTGCAGATTTCACTTGGCTGCCAAAATAGTAAGTGTACTTCCTCTGTCTCACACGAAGCCTTTTACACCAGTTGGAAAGATGATGCAAGACATTCCTGC